CATGCTTAATTTAAAAGTCAATTGCCTGACAATATTTATAGGCATGAAATACATAGTTAGATGGTTGCCACCACTTGCTTTCATATTAACTCTGAAACTAAGAAGAAGTGAGCTTTTTTCACAGGGTGCTGCAGTTGGCAGAACAGATAAGTAGTTGTGCTGTATTGAAGCTGTCAGGCAACAAGGTTGCCCTATTGAAGTGCACAAGCAAGCCAGAATACACAAGATGCCTGTGATAAAAGAAGTTGCACAGTATCTAAGCAACACAAAAGTGCATCTGATTATGTTGGTGTAGGAAGAAAGCTTCATTTTTTAAGTAGGCAGCTGAATCATTTGCCTAACTGAAGGTTGGGTTCGCATGCATAAGGAAGTCATTAGTTTCAAAGTCTTAATTTAATTTATAAAAAAAACTACACTTCCACTGCTGTTGAGTTTGTAGAAAAAAAAATACATCATTAAAATTGTGAATTTGACCTTTCTTCCAAACAGTGGTTTTCTCCAATATTAAATTGTCTTTTCATTGATGTTAAATTTGTTTCCCAAAACATTCTTTATACAAATTGGTTTTGCATTTTGAAAAACATGCTTTCCATGTTATTATGTTCACTCTAATGAGACCATAACATTTTTATTCTTCATAAAGTTTTAATAAACACAGTATTAATTAAGTTTAATATAAAGAAGTTTGGCTAGAGAAGAGAAAGCTTTCTGGAATAATAAAGTTTTGCAATAGAAGTACAAGCATACAATAACTTCTATAGAATTTTTACTCAAAATATACTGTATGTACTGAGAAAATTGACAGGAAATTAAAAAACAGGCAGATGCAAGAAAAACCTATCATTTGATATTCTGTTATAATCTTTACGGGTTCTGCATAGGCGTTTGCTGTGTCTTGTATTTCACTGACTGACAGGGCAACAGTGCCTGAGAATTGTGGAGGTGTCTCCTGGCTCATAAGCGTAAATAAATGGGCAGATTTCTAAAACTCCAATTTAGTGACCTTGATTTGAATCTAGCTCTGTAAGAGAAATTGTTTTTTTTAGACCCGAACAGTTGAGCAAAACATAAAACCGGCAGAAGTGCTTGGCCTTTGCCTTATCAATGAAAATTCTGTCCTCCACTTTGGATTTTTTTATTATTAATTTTAAGAATGTAGGTAACGTGGTTATGCTGTCTAACTGTCTAACAGTGCTGGAGCCCTGGGCTCAAATCTGGATCTGGGGTGCTGTCTGCATGGAGTTTATGTGTTCTCTCTGTGTTCGTGTGGGTTTCCTCTTGGTGTTCAAGTTTTCCTCCCAAAGTCCAAAGACATACTGGTAGGTAAATTGGTTTTTGGGAAAGCTGGCCCTCACGTGAGTTTGTGTGTGTCTGTGTGTACCCTGCCTTGCACCAGGTGCTTGATGGGATAGGCTCTGGCTCCCCCATGACCCTGAATTGCATGGAGCAGTTAGAAAAGGGATTGACAGAACTTTAAGAATATGGATATATTAAAAGTTTGACCTACAAGGTGATCTGTGCATAAAAAAAGGCTAGAGTCCTTTTTAGCTTCTTCAGGAGAAAATACTGAATTGCAAGTTAGAACAAGATCTTGGCTGTTAAACAGTAGAAAAAAAAAAATCTGTTCTGTCACAGAATATCACTCCAGAGATGTAAATATCCAGAGCTGATATTTTACTAAAATACTGCAAGGAAATTACCTGATAGACACAAATTGGCTTAATGGACACATTAAAAATTAAACCAGATGAATGTGTCTCGGAGCTTTAAGGACATTTAAGGGGCTTTTTGATAGAACTGAAACATAGTTCCAGCAGTAATACTGAACAGTCCTCTTTGTTGACAAATGAACACAATTCTTTTGTTCTGAACTGCAAAAATAATTGTTAACTGGTCAAGAAAACATGTGGCCTCCTTATTTATTTGTATTTTTGTCTCTTTGTTTACTGGGAAAAAAAAATTCACGTGTGCAAGATGGGAATCAAATCTCTTTTAGACTGCATCTGTTCTGAAAGAAGACAATTTTGTGCAGGAAACAAGGAAAATTACAGGGTACTACCCATATGATACCATGGTAATTACTGGTAATTCTTTTATATTCCAGCCCTGGCACATAAAGCTTCACCCATCATTTTAATAGTAGGGCTACTGGCAAAATAGGTTTATTATCCTCTTCTGACGTAGGAGTAAGATGGCAAGATTAAGGGGAAGTTGAAAGGGAAATGAACATTGAAATTGAAGCTTTGAAAATGTGTTCAGGAAAGAAAACTAAAGATACTTTTACATACCTTTTCAACACACTTGCAAGTCATGCATGAATGCTGTGTAGCATTTACAGTTACAGTCTGTTTTTATTTGGTATAATTAGATGTTTCTAAAAAGAGCAGATCTGCTGAGTAACTGGGAAGAAGGAAAAAAAAACAGGATGATAGATGTGGTATGTGGATTAAACATTTTCCTGAAACATTAAATAGAAATTCCTTAATATCTTTTTTTAATATAATATATCAGAGGACGTGTGTCTTGTTGTCACATACAGTGATGATTGTCTTAAGCATGATAATGAGTGTTCTGACTCATTATTCAGAACTGATTCAGAAAAGACTTCACTTTGACATTCAGAGGACTGGGCAGAAATCGCATCGTGTCAACACCCTTCGCGATGCTTTGTTTTAGATTAGGTGGCCATTTTTGTGAAAATTGGCTTACTTGAAAAGATCATATACTGCATCTGGCAATTTGTGAGTGGTCCTTTTACCCATTCATCCAATTATTTGGCATTGTTTTATCAAATCACCTAAACAACACTGTTTGCACAAAAAAAAAATAATGTGGGTGTAAATTACCAAAGATTAAGAATGACCTGGTTGGTTCATACCAGGTGCTTGTATTCACTTAGAATTGTGAGATGTTTGCTGCACTTGAAGGAATTATTCTAAAATTAGAAATATCATTGAGTTGGGTCACTTCATATTGTTAAGAAAACTAAATAACTGGAACTAAACTAGACTAATAAATAATCTTTAAAAATGTTATTAGAATTAAACTAGAGGATCACATATGTGGAAGTAGCTTCCTAGGGAATAAGCAACATGGGTTTATACTGTATCTTGAAACGTGCAACAACACTAATGGACACACACAGAGCCTGTGATGTGGTGTGTACCCACCCCTTGTTAAATTAGCACTTAACTTGCGAGTCCTGACACACACAAGTGACACACATACAGGACCTGTTTTTGTTATATGAGTAAACTTGCCCCGTTAATACCACCTTTGTGTGCATTTAAAACTGAAAATAGGACGTTTCTTTACCCAAGGGGTCATGGAACTGTAGAACAGGCTACCCAGTCATACTCTGGCTTCATTAAAGACATGTATGATACATTTTGATCAACAAGCTAATAATTTTCAAATGGGCAGATAGGCCAAAGGGCCTCTACTTGTTTGACTTAGTGCTTTGCATTTAGATCAAAAAGTTTGTTTTGTCTCCTTTGAGCATAAAGCCTTCTGCCATGTACAGTGCATGTTTATAATTAATTTAGGAGGATCTGTAGAATTTTGTTTTCACTTTGACGTTATAAAGGCTTTTGAGTAAAGCAACGTCAACACATCCCAATTAAATACATTTTGATTCCACAGTGTAACACAATATGGGGGGGAGGGGTGAATACTTTTGATATCGACTATATACCCCTGGTCTGTGACTTTCCCAGGAGGGCCCCAGTCGATCACCCCTGTTGATAGTAATCAGCATAACGAATTTAAATATGTCATGTCTGTTCAACAAGCCTGCGCAGCTGAGCGGCCGCAGCTGGAGTTTCGAAATGAGGATAAGTCTCCAGGGGGCGGCATCAAGACACCCCAGATACACGGCGAGAATGGAATCAAATACGCACAGGAGGATTTGAAGGGATTGGTGTCAGCGGTGTGAAACCAGGATTCCCTATATATAGATTAGTGAGTGAACAGTCCTGGTCAACTTATGAGAGTCAGAGTCTCGTTGTCAGGTGTGGCAGCGAGTTAGAGTGTCTCGCAGTGAGTCTCTTGATAGTCGACTCAGAAGAGAATCAGGAGGACAGTGAGAAACTGGGTCTCGTAGTGAAACTCTGGGGGAGTGAAAAGCTCAAATCCCCAGAAGGGGGGCGGCTTCCAGCAGCAACCCCGGAGGGGGTTGATAAATGCTATACATAGCTTGTTCTGAGGATGTGGGAGAACAGGGCTGTTTTAGCAGTGTGTCCACTCTGGATTGACATTCGGTTGGAGTTTAAGGGGAAAACTTGGTCTCATAGTGAGACAACTAATTAGTAATTAGACTCACACCTGAAGAAGGTTCCACGGCCGAAACGTTGTTTTCTTTCTTCTCTTTTCAGCATGGAATGAACCTGTTACTTGTTCCTTTGCAGCCTACGCCTGCTGACGCAGCTACCCACCTGAACTACTTCAATTAATTAGTAGTCAGGAAAGCTCTAGGTTGAAGGTTCATCCAGTCTCATTCATTTCCATGTTGGGTCGTTGGTAAGAAGGCGATGAGAGCAGATCAGCCAAAGTGGAAATGAACAAGTTGACGTTTCTTTCCTCTTACTCATTCGTAAGGCACATCAAAGTTAAGGAAGTCACAAGCTGATTTAGGGTTAAAAATGTTTAAATGCAACGGTATTGGTCCTTTAAAAATCTACAATTATTAAAAGCATGGGGCTTAATGTGAGCACATTCTCCATGCTCAGCTACCATCAAAAGATCTGTTGCAACCTGATCCAAAAAAGTACTTTTTTAACATATTTTTGAATTTGTTGCAGATGAAAGTTTCTTTTTATACATGTATACGTATTATTCTTTATCATCCTCCCCTCTTCAAGGACTTCTTTCTCCAGATTTTGTTCAGTAAATTTTCACTAATGATATATACCTACTGTCTTCTGGCACAAATGTAAAACATAGTATACAGCAGTACAGTACCTGTTTTACAATGTTAAAGTGCTTTTCTCTGACGTTAACAGAACTCCAAGTTTCGAGGGATCTCAATGGGATTTCCACAAATGCCACAGAGATCATCTGGAAGAAGATCGTTTGGAAGATCAAAACGATTCAGTCTTGCGCGATCTTTGGATGATCTTGAGGTAGGTTTAATTTCCAGTGCTTTGTGGATATTTAAAAATGAATGTAAATCACAGCATTGTGTACTGTTTATCTTAGTGTCTAAAAAGTCAACACAATGGTAGTATTGTTGTAAATATTGCTAAATTACTGGATATGGCTGTTTTCCAAATATTTTACATACCCTTTCAACATTTTTTGTATTTTAGCTTTACTGCTGATTTTTGTTTTGACAGTACAGAATGCAGCTATTATTCTTTCAGCTTGCTCGGCCTGATATTTTGAAAATGAATGGTAACAGCATGAATATTTAAACATTAATACTAAAAGTATTTAAATGATAACAGGGTCATGAATTATACACGTAATTGTGAGGGTTCAGTTAAATCTTGCCAACCAAAGTTTTTATGTTTAACATTTTTGGAAAAATGAATAACATGCAATTTGTTTTTTTACCCATCACGTGACCTAATGCAAATAAAATGAACTGCTGTTGTGAAGATTTTATGTCACTGAAGGCATTAATTTCTTATGGATTGTCTCACACTTTCAATTTTGACTACATTGATTTCAGAAGATAAGTTGTCAAGTGATTCAGTGTTGCTGTGTTCGATAACGTACTGTCAGATGGGAATGATAAGCAGAATATTTTCCTCTTGAGGCTTTATACATTCTACAAGAAATAAGCAACATTTTGCTGCTTTGATCACTTTTGGCAAACAGATGGGATAATGAAAACCATGGTCTGCTCTTTTTAGCCTTTTAAAATGACATGTTGCCTTATGCTTTAGGATGCCTTCTTTAATTTTCGGTGTTTTAATGTTTGTGGTATTTTTTTTGTGAAAAATAAGACCTTGTATTCAACATGGAGTTGGTTATACATAAAATATAGTTAGTAGTTTTATGTAATGTAAAATAAGCCATATGTCTGTGCACATTGCCTGTCCAGAATTAAAACTTTTCAAGAGAGAGTTTTTTTAAAGAGATCATCAAGAGGTCTCTGCTAATCCTTCTGTGTCTTGTGATCTTAAAAATGGTTGGGCAGACAGAATTTTCTGTGGCTGGAATACTGTTTGTCCTTTTTTAATACGTTTTATTTGCTGCTACAATTAATTACATGATGCAGGCTAGATGGTGACATCTTGTGTGGCTGGTGCTATGGAGTTACGCACAAGAAAGATCAGTTAAAAATCTAAGTTATTGCAAAATACATATGAAATCCCCACATCAATTTTTGATTCAGCTGGAAACATCTGGCACGACAACAAAGGTTAGTATGGTTCTCTACATTAGCAACGACCATAAGCTGTAAGCAAAAACTGTATGTTATGTCCATAAAATCAAACAAAGCCGTACAGTACCTGCTTCACTCCTGAATATGTGAAAACAAATGTGCTACAAAACATGAACAGATATGCTAAAATTGATTGGTCTTGCTTGTAAATTTGAAGCGTTTTGTTCTCAAAGAAGTTAATTGCACAAAGTTCTAACTCTAGAAAACGAGGATGTATTAAATAACAAATCTGGCATTTTCCCATCTGTTAGGAATTGCAATTTGAAACTGAAACATAAATCTATTGGTTGGTGTTCTCCAAAGTGCTGAACATTTGCTGCTGCTGTCCCCAGCAGACATTTTAATGTAGCAGATAAGAAGTAGAGGAACTAGTGGGGGGGTAACTGAATAGAAATAGAATAGTGCAGTGCTGATTCATGCGTTTTCAAATGTGCTGTTTAAAATGTTAAAGCTGCCTTTGTGATTATTACCGTGCATATGTTATATCATGTAGATTTATGTTGCATTTTATAGCAAACGTAACTTAGAAATAAGCAACTTTAGATTTGTCCAAACTATGAAAACCAATTCAAGGTGTTTGTAAAAAAATATATAAACGTTTTGCTATTTGATACAATCAAATGAAACATTTCCTTAATCTAGCTGAAAAATAAACACAGGATAATTAAAACGTTTGCCAATGTTTGGGTGACGTTGAAGGTGTTCCCAAATGTTGAAACCTTCAGAGCAGTAAAAAAGATGCGTGTAAAACCAGCTTGTGTTTTTACAATGGTACTTTTTGTTTTTAGCAAAGGGAAGGTTTATGATAACAGCAGTCCAAACACGGAGACAGTGTCACCACAGTCTGTCAGGGAAGCTGCACTTATGCTCATGTACCTTTGTATTCTTTAGTATAAACCCGATGATTCAAAAAAGAGATTGGAAAAAATTACAATAACTTAGTAGGCCCCCACTATCTTCAGACTGAAACCTGTTGTTGAAAGAACACAACTGACCTCCATGTTATTTTGCAAAGTGAGGCGAAACAATACCCAAAATGAAATGATCAGTCTGAAACTCAGGAAAGGAATTCGATTATTAAATTTGAACCTTTTGTAGGTAAAATCTAATGGTATCCTAACACATTGGTCATCAGTATCAATTACCAAAGTGTGTAGTAAAATAAGAAAGATTCAAATGCAAGAACTGATTAAAAAAAATCTGAGTACACAATTTAGAGATTCCTCAAGATGCCACCTTTAGCATATTCATTCACATTCTATTACAGGGATGTTTATAACATGACATGGTCATATGATTTTTGTTTGAACTTAACCACACTGTCGAAGTGTGTTAACAATCATTGACAGGCAATGCAATTTTAGCAACTGTTTGATTTGCAATCTTACTATTGTAGAAATATTTCTTGACACAGTTTTTACCTTTTCTTACTTGTTCCAAATGGCACTTTGGGCTGTGTCTGCTAACAAAGCGTGCTTTGTGGTTTTGTGGGGGCTTTTATTTACTTGTCATGTTAATGAGCACTGATGAGAGATGCACTGACGGCTCCCTCATTAGCACTAGCTTAGGATTTCACCAAACACCAGCTAATTGCAGCCTTCCACAGATATTTTGTTTTCCACAAACAAAGTACAAGCATCGAACAAAAAAGGTTTCTGGTACCTTAATCTGTGCATTTGGTAAATCGTCATCATGACAACAAGTATTTGTTAATCAACGTTTCATCTTATGTGTGTGCACATATATGTTCTCTTCGCTGCTGGCTCTGTATCTCCACTATACTGGCTGCACGTTTTTGGCTGTCTGGTTAGTTTAGCACTGAAGCGGCAATTTGATACTAAAGTGATGAGACAGAATACCATCTTACATATAGGTGTCCATTGAGAGCTTATGAACTAGCATCAATGTGTTATTTGATGGAGCTGTTGTGCAGTTCAGTCCTACTTTTCAACTATTCTTTATTCTCCAATGAGTAATCTTTTATTCTCTATATTTGCTCTGAAGCTCGAGTATGTCATCATTGTACTTGGCCCTTCATTATCAGACAGCTTGAGTGCCTAACACATTTTATAGATTTTATTTTTTGCTTATTTTGTGAGCATCTTAACTATTGGCTTTAATTTTCTGATGAACATTATTTTTTAATCCTTTTAGTTAAGTTATTTGTATTTGTATTGTATTTCAGAAAACATATAAATAAATAAATGTCACAGAAATCAAAGGAGGGGAAACCAGGCTTCTCTTTGGAAGCAGCAAGTCCTTCTGTCAAAAACAAACTTATTCTGCCCATCCTTACATTCTGCCTACCCTGGTTGGTGAGGAATAGAAACAGAATTTGAACAAATATATCTACACTGGGTGTTTGCATTCCACTTCATTGAGACCCTCTTGCATGGTAGAGAGTGAAAGAAAATGAATGCTGAAGACTGACATTTTGCAAAGACCTCTTTATGTGTAGCTAAATCTGTACTGCCAGAGAGAGTATGTTTACATCACAAGAGTGCTGCTGTACCTACTGTACCACTTTAAAACAGCTTCATCGAGTGATGTTTCATCATGACCCACTTTCATGTTTTCTTGCACTAGCGCTTGATTTTTTTAGTTGTGGCTTCAACATAATATTTCAGTTTAAACTGCAGCAACTTGTCCCCTATCCTGGCCAGCAGCCATATCACCCTGCCATTCACAACTGGCAGCCCACTAAGCTCAGCAGGTGTGAGCGTGGTCAGTACCTGGATGAGAGACCTCCTGGGAAAAACTAAGGTTGCTGCCGGAAGTGGTGTTAGTGGGGTCAGCCGGGGGGGGTTAACCCTGCAGTACGAGTGGCGCCTAATGCCCCAGTATAGTGACGGGGACACTATACTGTAAAAAAGCACCGTCCTTCGGATGAGATGTAAAACTGAGGTCCTGACTCTCTGTGGTCATTTCTCGAAAAGAGTAGGGGTGTAACCCCGGTGTCCTGGCCAAATTTCCCATTGGCCTTTACTAATCACGGCCTCCTAATAATCCCCATCTATGAATTGACTTCATCACTCTATTCTCCTCCACACTGATAGCTGGTGTGTGGTGAGCGTACTGGCAGACTATGGCTGCCGTCGCATCATCCAGGTGGGGCTGCACATTGGTGGTGTAGGAGGGGAGTCCCCATTACCTGCAAAGCGCTTTGAGTGGAGTGTCCAGAAAAGCCATACATGACTGTAAGCAATCATTATTAATTATTATCTTGTGAATATCAGAAACTTTGCTTTTTGACATCATATTCTACGTACAGATGCAGCGATTCAAAACGAGCCGCGGTACAACGCAGTGGGCTTGTCGTATCATAACGCATCATAACGCAATATACCGTGTGTAAATTAGATTATGTTAATAGTATCCAGAACCATCTTGTAAAACTGCCAGGTGGAGCTAATAAAGCTTAACCTCTCATGTACGGCATTTGAGCTGTCACCAGAAAATGCTGGTTTCGAATCCCGATCACTGCTAAGGGACAATCTTTATTCAATTAAGAATTTAAGTTGTATACTCTTAAGGCTTTTAAATTTAAACTGTGTATTACAGCATGTTAATCATCATACATTAAAAAGTTGGTATATTTTATGAAAGCAATATTGCTCAGTTGGACAAAAAGTACACAACCTACAACCTTTATCATAAATATTTTAATTATGCAGAAATATTTTATGTGTCAAAGTCTTTACGGAAGATATTACTAATAGTATTAATAAT